GGGGGGGGGGGGAAATCACTGGGAGGCATACGTTATCTCTTTAATACTGCTCTCTCCAGAAAGGAACACTGGTAACTTGGATTTACGTTTTAGTAACAATTTCTTGTGTACTCCATGTACAGGTTTACCAATTTACTATACAATTCATGTAACAGAGTGCCAATCTTACTTGGTTGCCTACTGCTTACATGGTAACACCAATTACATACACTTTGGTTAAGTGCATGCCATCTTTCAGCTCCATTGTCCAATTAAATGATTCTCAACCAGGGTGCTGTGAAACTGGCACCGCCATCACCAAAGGTACATGGGGCAGTTCCACCTATTTCTGGGAGGTGTGCGTGGAGCCCAACTGGGAAGCAGCTGCAGCAGGAGCAGACTTACCTAATGCAGACAAGAGTGCCTGGTTCCTGCTGCAGCTGCTTCCCAGTCTGCCTCCATGCACCCCTCCAGAAAAAAAGAAGAGGTACACAAGCTAGTGCCACTTGGCAGCAGCAGCAGCACAGCACCCTGGAGATAAAGTAGGTAAGCTGAGACTTTAGAACAGCGGTTCTTAATTTTACTGAATATGGTGGCACCTTGGTTATGGAGGGGGACCTTGAATCTAAGAAGGCTGTAAACCACTGGTCAGATTTGTAACTATTTGTACTCCATCCAACTTCCCAAGAAACCAACAGTGAAGGGAAAGAAGCTATCAAAGGACTGGTATTAGAAGCTTCTGAAATGACAAGTGAGTCAGTTTCACAGCTGCTCTCTACCCTCACTCCCAAGTTCTTAATAACAGTTCTGAAACCAATTAGGAGAAACTTCTAAAATGAGGGGACTTAGTCAGTTTTGCGCCTGCCAACTTCAGCACTAACAGCATTATCAGTAGTGTTTACTTAATTATCACTGTTCACATGAAATTCACAAAAGTTAGCATTCCCAGTAAATAGTCTTGCAACTGAGTAAGGTTATGCACTTAAACAGAGCTACACATGCACAGTAACTTGCCAGAATTTACCCAAAGCCCCGACCTGTCACCACAGTGCAAACATGTCAGGGCAAAGGTACTAGTGCATTAACAGATCATTTTACTGGGATTGTAGTAACACTGAAAATGATCCTAAAAACATACATCATACTCCCTTTTTCTATACACAGGCTTCTAATCTGGTCAACACTGTATCTGTACACTGATCAAAATGTGCAAGTGGGGAAAATAGGTGCTAAAATCTTTTTAAAAAAATGTTCCTAAGTCAAAAAGCTTGCATGTGCTCTCACATGCTCATGAATTACAATCAAAGTATATTGGTATGATAGGTGTCTAGCAAAACACTGAACAGCATCATAAATAAGTTATTATAAATCCATTCTACAGCAGTTCAATTAATAAAACTTAAATGTTTGCAACAAGCAACCTTAAAAGATAAGGAACACCTGGAAACAACATAATGAACGTTATTCCTAAACCTGAATTATGACAAAGGATTTGTTTTGATAAGTGGTTTTATTTTTTTATGTTATGGTCTTAGCTGGAGTGGCTATGTAAACTAACAGTAACTTGCCTTGCCCTCCATCAGCCAGCTTTATGTTCAAGGACAAGTTTAGCAAGTTTTTTTTATTATTATTATTATTACTGTTCTCAGTGAACGCTTGCATAAGTCACAAATCACTTTTGCAAATACCAGCCATATGAATGGAAGTAACCTGAACACTGAGGTACGTGGAACAGAACTGATACCATCTTGGCAAAGCTGGAGTTGAATTTAAGGCAGCCAATTTCTAAACCATGGCAGAAGGAACTAAGGAAGTGCAGATACTGTGGAATGAAGAAAAAAAGATGACAAACTACCAAACCAGAGCACTCTAGCACAAGGGTGTGAAACTCATCCCAAGCCCAGAGCCAAATCCAGACCACAGGGGCAACTCTCAGGCTGGATTGCCAGGGCCAGCAATCCCAGTGGGGCTATGCTCAGGTAACAGTATGAGTCACCTAAGGTAGGTGGCAGGTAGGCAGCAGCACAGAGCCACCTTTGGAGGCAGTGCAGCACCCTAAATGGGTGGGAGTGTGAATCCATGTTTAGTCAGTGGCAAAGGGCCACATTTGGGCAGCAGCACCAAACTCTGGCTGACGAGCAGCAGAGCTGGGGTGCATGGCGACATGAAGCCACACTGGGGCCAAATTCAGTGGCTTCCAACTTCCAACAGCCTGCCAAGCTATTGGTGGACCTTATGAAACAGTTCTGCAGGCCAGATCTGGCCCTTGAGCTGTATATTTGACACCCCCCACCCCTGCTCTAGTTGTCTGTTGCCATGTATGTAACACTGAGAACTACAGTGTCATTAAGAGAGTCAGGCAAAGATAAGTTTTCCCACCTATAGTTTTTTAGTTCTCAAGTGTTAATTTATGTAAATTTTAGTGACTGGGTAAAGGACCAGCTAAATACTCTGGGTAACTGAAGGCTTCCTTTTTTCTGCCAAATAGGCAAAGCTCTGGCTAAGGTAGAACAAGTCACCGTTACCTCTAATCACAGGCTGATTTAAAGGAAGAATCAGGCTTCTCAGTGTTTTTTACGAGACTGCTGTAAGCAGCAGAAGTGCTGACCCTAAAGCCTAAATTCCTCTTGTATATTTGTGGCACAGCAAGGACAATGACAGTGCAGATTTCCTCCCTTCACTTTCATTAGCATTCTTTAACTGAGAGAGAAAACGCCTCTACATTTACAAAGCAAGGTTCACTGCTCCTGAGCCTCTCTTCAGCATGACCCCGACTGCGTTCCAAGCCACAGAAGAGAGATGGAAAACCAAAGTCCATGACCACCATTAGCACATAAACGTCAGCGCCTTACAAACAGTACCTGAAAGGGTCACAATTCCCCTGGGCTGAGGTTCAAAGCGCAAATATTTGTTACAGAAGGAGGGCGATTCGAGAGCCAGAAACAAGACGTTCCCCAGGAAGTAGCCCGCCGTCTGCCCCACGGAGTTGCACGTGGACGCGTAGCCCACGTTCTCCCGTGACAGCATCGTCAGGGCCCAGCCGTCCACAGCGATGTCCTGCGTGGCAGCCAGGAACTCAAACAAGAAGAAGGTGGCGGTGAGGGCCAGCACGTCGGGGCCATGACCCTCCCCGTCCCCCAGGAGCGAGTCCACCTGTGTGGACAAGCCCAGCATAAAGAGCCCCAGGAAGTATTGAGTGGGCACAAGCCAGGATTTGCGGCGCCCGAACCGCTTGAAGTAGACGGCATCCACCAGCGGTGCCCACAGCAGCTTGAGGCTGAAGGGCCAGAAGACGAAGCTGAAGAAGGCCTGGTCCGTGTAGCTGACACTCTTGCTCTGCAGGATGAGCGGGACGCTGCCCGCCAGGCCCAGCGGGATGCCCTGCAGCACGTACAGGAACAGCAGCAGGAACACGTTGCCCAGCTCGCCCCGGCAGCCCCGAGGGGGGCCAAGCGGCGGCGGCAGCGGGCCCGGCAGCAGCGCCTCTGTGTCTCCATGCCCGAACCGGACCGCGACGTCGTCCCCGTCCAGCGCCGGCGGCGCGGCGCCCGGCTCCAGCGCGCTGTGATAGCC